CAAATTCTCATTTGTATGTGTTTTTCACTATTTTATCTTATTTTTGCAGGTTTTTCATTATATAGATGTAATATTTTACTTATTTAAAGAAAAATCTACAAATTTTTGATATGTATTTTTGTGTCTTTTATATATTAGATTCTAATAAATTATAGATTCAACATAATGTGATTGTTTTAGTTATTATTTAAGCTTAAAAATTGTATTTTAAAAAAAAAATCTATGTTTTGATGTCATTTAAACGTTTTTGGATATGCAGATTTTTTCAGATCTGAGTCAGATATTGGGAGACTTCCAGAAGATGTTCAGAAGACTTTCCTAGAAGTCTTCTGGCGTAGTTTTAAGTCTTCTGACTTAGTCTTAAGTCTTATGACGTAGTCTTCTTCCATGTCTACTCTTTCACAACAGATATGAGCGTTTTAGTAAAGTTTTCATGTCTGATTTTTCTTCATTTAGTAATCTTTTGTTGCATAAAGCTCTTATGTTTTTTTCCAAACTAAAATTCTCCAACCTCTCTTTAACCTCTTTAAACATGAAAACATCAAATTTTATATCAATTTCTCATCTTTTCCTTATGTCTTTCTTACTAATTAGTCTTGTTTTTGCAGGTTTTTCCAAATCTGAATCATACATTGGAAGACTTATAAAAGACTTTCAGAAGACGTTCATAAGACTTTCTTGGAAGTTTTCTGACGTAGTCTTAAGTTTTCTGACGTAGTCTTAAGTCTTCTGACGTAGTCTTAAGTCTTCTGACGTCTTCTCATATAAAGTGGAGTCCAAGCTTGTCTTTTTGGAGGAATGATCTATAATAGTTTTGTTTGTGGTCTCTTTTGTGATTTGTATGTGTACTTTTTAGTTGTGGTTTTTGTTTTTGTAAATTTGAAGAAATATTAATAGAAAATATGGTAAATATGTTTATTGTCTAAAATTACTTGAAATTATAAAAGTAAACAAGAGTACAATAAAAGTAAGTTCTATATTTGTAAAATCAGTAATGATGGGGGTGATTGGTTGGTATTTATCACCAATCAAACTATAAATTTCATTTAGGACCCCAAATATTGTATAAAACACACGAATTAACAATAAAATCATGAGAATTTATTTTAAATTTTAAGAAAATGAAAGTTTATTGTACATTATCGTAGAAGACTTACCTGAAAGTCTTTCCGGAGAAGACTTTCAGGTAAGTCTTCTGGTGGAACTCTTCCAAGTAAGTCTTCCATTTATGTCATTTTTCCAATTGAAAATTTGCAAAGGAAGACTTTCAGAGAAGTCTCTTGTATCTGAGACTTCTCTGGAAGTCTTCTCTTGTAAATATTGGCTTACTTTTGTAATATAAAGATTCTCGGAAACACCTGAGAAGACTTACCTGAAAGTTTTTTGGATAAACATGTTAGTTTTGCAATTGACTAATCTGTGTCACAAATTTGACTTTCTACGGAAGACTTACCTAGAAGTCTTCTCAACCTTTACATTATGTCTACTAAAATTTGCGTAGGTTACTTTTGCAATTGACTATATTTGTCTTTTGTTCAGAATATTTTCAGATAAGCCTTATGTCAAAAGACTTATAGGTAAGTCTTCTTTGATTACCTTAGGTTTGACCAGAATCACAGAATAAAAATCGGAAAACTTCTAGGTAAGTCTTCTGGCAGAAGATTTATCTGGAAGACTTCCAGGTAAGTCTTCAGGTGGAAGACTTACCTGAAAGTCTCCTAATTTAAATTAAATGTTTTAAGTTTAAATTTTCAATTGCAAAAGTAACCAATGCAGACTTCAATAGACTTAATGTTAAGGGTTGAGAAGACTTTTAGGTAAGTCTTCTTGGAAATATTATGTAGAAAGTCAAAATTTTGACACAAATTGGTCAATTGCAAAACTAACATGTTATCCAAGAAGACTTCCATGTAAGTATTCTCGATTTTTTTTGTCAACAAAGAAAATTTCGAAAACTTCAACTACAGCTTTCTCTTAAAAACACACAGAAAGTCAATTGCAAAACTAACATATTCTTTGACCAGAAGACTTCCGTGGAGAAGACTTAAGACTAACATATTCTTCGACTGAGAAAACTTACAAAGACTTAACTGTAAGTCTTCTAGCAAACAAATATAGGAAAAAAATCAATTCATACCTTCAACTACCACTGAGAGATCTTGCTTAGTTCTCCAAGTACACACAACTTCACCAGAACAACTACTCAATCGTTAATGACCAGAAATTGTGAGCTTGAATTGCTATATGACCCTTAAAAACTTTAGAATACAAAAAAAATGGATTTTTTGGATAAATATAGATAGAAAGTGAGAGAGATGTAGTTTTTGGGCATAAGATATAAGAATGAATGAGTAAATTTCATTTTTAGATGCATTAAGAGTTTTATTTTGGTTGTTGGGTGAATTGATGACAATGACATTTTTATAATTAATTGATGACAATGACATTTTTATAATTAATTGATGAAGATGAGAATTTGAAAATAAAACAATCATTTTCAAAAATAAAATTAAAATAAAAAGAATGTCATTTCGTGAATAATCAGATATTCTGGAGGGGGGGTTGGTTGGTTGGGCAAATGAAAAGTTCAAAAAAAAATGTTAGTTTTGTGTTTGACTTGGAGTTTGAGTCATTTTTGGAAAAAAAACCCTATTTTTATTTTTTATTTGGATTGTTGTTTTAAAATTATTTTTATTGAATAATATAATGTGTATTTTGATATAGTATTTTATATTTTACTTTGCGAAATATATATTTCACTATTAATAATATTTTTATTTATTAATTTTTTTTAAAAAACCCAAAAACTAAAAACCAAAATCTAAAACAACTATTCATGTTTTTCAAAAATCAAAAATCTACTATGATAACAAAAACCAAAAACTAAAATCTATAAACCAAAAATCAAAAACTAAAATTTAACCAAAAACTAAAACTCAAAAACCAAAATTTAAAATTTACAAGCCAAAAAAATAATCGTCACCTAAAGCCACACCAACAAATTTTTTATCTATTTTTAATAATTTAAAGGACTACGGTTGATTATATGTAGCCGCAAAATTGTTTTGAAGTCAAAGCTAATACTAAAAAAAAAATGTTATATATAATTAACCGTAGACCTTCAAACTTTTTAAATCAAGGCTAATATAAATCGGGTGATTGTGGTCAAGTGGTAAGAATACAGGATTGAAATACCAATATGATTCAGGTTCGATACAATTTACTGCGTGAAATTAAATTGCAATTATCTTCGACCCAAAGAGAGTCTCCGTTAGTTTCACCTCCTTTTGGGGATTAATCTTGGCTTCTCTATAGGTTAATTTTGACTTCTCCATAGGTCTAACATATCCAAAGATTAATTAAAAGAAAAAAAAACTCAAGGCTAATATTTCGCTGGGATGTGTCCAGATCGACATGAATTAGCCAAAGAATGTTCATGTAATTTGCAAAAGAAACGAAGAAAAAAAAGATACTCACTCAAGTAACTAGATATGTTCTTTTTCATGTCTAGACTTTCGTAAATATCATTTCTTTGAAATTTTTTGTTGTGTAGTTACGTAGATGATGTTTATTGGGTGAGTGTCTATATGTTTTTTTTTTTGTGGTCAAAATGTTAAAGTGTCTATATGTTAGGTTGTTCCAATATTTGAGTCTCAATGCTTTTTTTTTTGAAACTTTTTGGTTTTCAAATGTTACAACATTATATTTGTATACATATGTCTACTTTAACTCACCATGTTGATTCATGATTTCTTATAAACTTTAATTCACCATGTTGATTCATGGTTTCTTATAAACTTTGATTCGTTAGATTTATTCATTACATGCTTCGTGAAAACGGTAAGTCCGACAAGCAGGCTGAGCATTCAGATATTTGGTTCGGTTCCGGATAAGAATAATTTGGTTTCGGATATATCGGATAAATCATTCTTATACCCAATAGATACTTATGAGATTTCGGTTTCGGTTTCAGTTCGATTTCGGTTCGGTTCCGGATACCCATTTAATATATAAATCAAATATATATATATATATATAGAATATATTAGTTAATATGTTAATTTAAATAGTCTAGTATTTACACGTTTACATATTCGTCAATCAAACATAAGTTTGAATCAATAAAGTGTTAATCTTATAAATATTTATCGTATTTTAATATCGAAATACTATATATATTTATAATATAAGAGAATAAATAAAACATAATGTGGCCATGTGGTAAAAATATACTTACTCTTTGTATTCAACATGGGTTTAAGTGTGTTTGATGTCATTTTATCTTATATTAAAAATTTTAACTTGTTTTTTCCGATATTCGGGTACCCATTCGGTTCTCGGTTCGATTCCAGTTCCGGTTCGATTTTTCGGATATAGAAATATAGGAACCATTCGGATATTTAAGAATTTCAGTCCGGTTTCGGTTTCGGGTATTTCGGTTCGATTCCGGTTCGGTTTTTTGGTTTCCATTTTTTTGCCTAGGGCTACCGACAATGGCTATTGAGGGTATTTTCCAGATAAAGAATAAAAATTCTAATGCTTGTAGCTTCTTTAATGTGGCTACTCATCATGACAGAGCCCCATGGTTCCTCCATCTAGAGAGGAGACGTTGTGTGACATGTGTGCCTATGTGGTTCACAGTCCTAACATGTAATTCTCAGACATTGTATTATCCCATCATGCATATACATAGTAAGTGTATATACAAGATGATGATGATGATGATGATGATGATGTTGGTTCCATATATTGTGTTCTCTGTTAGTTTTGAAAACATGACAATCTTGCCATTCTCCTCAATCCAATGCCTATTAACTCAATTAAACTGCAGAATCTATTCCAGTTTTTAGTCCTATGAGATCAACAACATCAGATTCTTGGAAGACAAGAAACTACTCTGAATCAGATTGTCTCATCCAACAACAACATTAGAAACAAGACAATACATTGATTTGATACTTACATCAACCTTGCTTATTTAAACCAAAAGATTTTTTTTACTACACCTTCTTATGGTTGCAACACTTGCTTTTTAAGTCCATAAGCTTCTTCTGGTTTTCTGGTGACCAAGGCTTGAAAGAACCAGCACGAGTAACATTCTTCAAGTAAAAGAAAAACCCACGCAGCAACTTCAATCTCTCCTTATCATCATCACCATCCACACGTCTGTATTCTTTATCAAAATCAGAAACCTTCTCAAGATAGGAAGGTCCAAACTCAGAAGTCTCATAATTACTTTCTCTTCCCTTTCTCAGTTCTCTGCAACGTGTCACTTGTTTCTTCTCTGATACCTCACCATAGAGCCTCAACAACTCTCCTTCATCGTATGGTCTCTCCAGAACATCCATTAGCTCTTTTGTAAACAGACAACTGATAGTTTCATCCTCAGTACTATCTACCTCAAGATCAATCACGGTCTTGCTCTTGGACACCACAAAAGGTGTACTTTCTCCACACAAGAAGGGAGAATCACTAACCATAATCATATCATCATCATCATCAGAACAAGACTCAGTATCTAGCTCAGCCTTTACTAGATCCTTTTGAGGGACAGTCATGGATTGTTTTTGAGTTGGATCAGGCACAACAGTTGTGGAAGCTTTAAGAGAGCTTACAAGCCATGCGAAGTAATCTTTATCCACAACTGCTACATTCTTCTTCCTTGTCCCTAATGCAGAAACTCCTTTGTTACTTTGTGTCACTGGAACAGTCTCATCTACGGCCTTAGGCTCTGTAACTCTGTTTACTCTTGAAGTCCCTGCTGCTTTAGTTTCATCATCTTTCTTGTTTCTTCGTTCAGCAATCCTGTTGCCTCTTCGAATAGCTTCTTTGGTTCTAAACAAGGGAACATTTTGCAAAGTGTTAACCTTTGAATGTGACAGTTTCTTAGCTTTGTTGTGTCGTTGGATCACTTCTTTGCCTCTAAACAAGGGAACGTCCTGCAAAGTGTTAACCTTTGAATGTGACAGTTTCTTAGCTTTGTTGTCTCCTTGGATCACTTCTTTGCCTCTAACCAATGGAACATCGCGTGAAGTGTTAACCTTTGAATCTGACACTTTCCTAGCTTTGTTGTCTCGTTGGATGGTTTCTTGGGCTCTAGCCAACGGAACATCCCATAAAGTGTTAACCTTTGAATCCGACAGTTTCCTAGATTTGCTGTCTCGTTGGATGGTTTCTTTGGCTCTAACCAACGGAACATCCCATAAAGTGTTAACCTGTGACACTTTCCTATCTTTGTTGTCTCCTTGGATGGCTCTAACCAACGGAACATCACTTAAAGTGTTAACCTTTGACACTTTCTTAGCTTTGTCGTCTCCTTGGATGTTGTTTACTAAAGGAACATCCCTTGAAACCCTAGCAGACTCAAACTCAGCCATCTTCCTCTTTCTTCTTTCACAAGCTCTATTGTCACGTTGAATGCTTTCTCGGGTTGTAGCTACCGGAAAAGCTCTTGAAACCTCAGCCTCAGACACAACATCTCTCCTCTTTCTCTTCTGAGAAACTCTGTTCTTGATTGGTTTCTCCTCAGTACCACTAAGCTTTGATCTTTTTGACTCACCAGAAAACTCGAAACCAAGATTACGAGTTTCAGATTCTCCATTTTCATCATCAAAGGGAGGGAAAAAAGTGTTGTCACCACTAAGATGATGATCAAAGAAGAGTTTGTACTCATCATCAACCAGTATAAACCTTCTGCATCCACCATCATCATCCATAACTGAATCTAAAAACCAAATATTTTAGGGTTTAACTACACTCTTTTTGTTCTAAACAATTAAAGGAAATTTTGGAGAAGGAGAAGAATATGAAGAGACGAGAGAGAGAAAGTGATGATACTATGTCTTATTGGTTTAAGTCATCACTCATCACAGACAAGAGTTAAAATAGACCTATTCTTTGATATACTATTAATCTTTTTTCTTCTTAAACATCATAAAATTTACAAAAAAAAAAGAGAGTAAATTCAGCCAACTACTTTCCTGACTGAGTAAGAGAGAGAGAGGTTAATTGAATTTCAGAGCTTCCATTAATGGTGTGATCTCATCAATTGATAGACCTTTGATCGATTTAATACTACTTATAGTACTATTGTTGAGTTGCTTTCAACTCCTGAGTTCTCCAAAAAGTACATGTACTAGTGTTTGTTGACCACACAAGTTATGTATGTATCTTAACATCTTACCAAAAAAATAATTGTCTGCAAGAAATTATCATTTGTTTGTTTTTGAAGAATTTTTTTTGAAAAAGTATATTTACAAAATGGAATCTAGTTGTTGTTACACAGAATATTAATGTCTGGATAATTTCTTGAAAACGTAAAAACGCAAATCTTCAGATGAACTACAATTGTGTCTGTAAAAAGAGTTAAGTAAAGATTCTGTGGTACATTTTAACTTATGAAGCAAGATAAATACTTAAGAGGGGCTAAAAAACAAAAGCATCCAAAAACCACTTAATAGACTTAAATACTTCTTTTTAGACACGAGACATGCCGAGTTTGCGTTCAAACAAGCGACGTAGAAGATAAACTTGAAGGACACTCGCCCCAATCAATGCAAACGACTCAAACAAAGCTTTGTGTACTGCTCTTTTGCTCATGTTCTCATTCACTACAACAAAACAAGATCAAACCATATTTAACTCTCTCAATAAAAAAAAAACAAATAGGTCTTACAGAAAAGAATGTTACCAATGGCTTGACGATCGGTCTGAGCCTCTAACCAATGTTGTTCAAACTGAATGTTGTAAAGAGCCTCCTCTAACTTTGATATCTGCTCCATCAAGGGAGTGAAATGCTCTAACGCAAACAAAACCATCATCATCAGCGTTATAAACTCAAAATACAAAAACCAAACAAAAGAATAATTCTCACCGTCCTTTGCGTGCTGGTCGTAGTAAGCAAAGTGACCAAGCTGTACATCAAAGTCAATGGTTTCGTGATAAGGAGACTTGTTAGTGAAACAGAAACGGTAAACTCCTTTCTTTTGGACAACAAAGTCGTGTTTGGCACTAATCTGCTCTCTGAAGTCATGAACTTGTTCCCCTGTTGGCCCATGTATCTGTTCAATAAAATCACTATTGGTTACACAAAACTAAGCATAACAACAACCAAACAAACCCTAATGGCGCAAAGATACAAACTCTAAAGTAGAAATCATTTTCTATAATCAAAACAGAGCTAATTTATATTCAAAAATAGAGAGTCATATACCACAAGATCTACACCATCCTCGTTAAAATGCCACTGAGAATCAGACTTGATGACCACGAAAGAGACATGAAGGGTATCTCCTTCGTATTCAGCCTTGTGTGAGAAGCATTCTTCTCTGTCTATCACGAATCTAATCCCTAACACTGCCTGGATGCTCCATACCAGCCCTAAGATTAAGATCGTAGCCTTCAAGCTCATCTGCCCACATATAAAATATTGAATTAAATTTCAATTTTTAAAAACGTAATTCAATCGTTTCGATGAATCATTGATTTTAGAGATTGGATAAAATTCAATTGAATTGATTCAAATGTCGATTCTTACGAGGTTGATTGGTTTCAATTCAGATAGATAAGAGAGCAAGAGAGATTTACCTTGAAAATGAGAGAGCTGTAAGGGAAAAAAAACAATGAAGAGTGATAGATAGGTAGATCGGAGACGAAGACGGTGAGAGAGAAGTTCGTTCAGAATCGGACACGATGGAAGCCTCTGTTTTGACTGAAACCGACAGGATCAGCAACTATAAACGACGTCGCTTTAATTATTTGGTCAGCGAGCTTACGTGGCGTGATGTAATTGGTTGTAAGATACCTTTTGAACCATTGAAGTATTGCCACGTCACTAGATACCATATTAACTCCATAGATTCATACGTTTCTTTTAGGGGAAAAAGTATCAAAACGTTTACATACACGATGATATTTATGCACAAAGAAAAAAAGTCTAACAGAGAAATTTTGCAACAACGATACATACTGAATACATTTTGTATGATGCTCAGAGCAACACCAAATTCATCTTTGTTTGCTGGAAAAAAATACATTCTGAAGCACAATGCAGCAGTTTGCCTTTAATGGATCTGAAAGCTGTTGATGATGATGTTTACTCATTCAAAAACATTCACGGCTTGAAGAAGTTTCTAATTCCACTAAAAAGCCGGAGAGCCTTCAGCTCACCGCTTCTTATATCTCTTAGTCTCCTCCTCAGAATCTGACCATAAAAAACAGAGTTAGATATCCGTATAATCTTTATACTGTAATGGCTAGAAAGTGGTTTCCTTACGTATTGAGCACGGTACAGTATCCTACGCTCACTGGTGGACAAGTCTACAGCTAACTGTTTCAGAAACGCTTTTCTGTTCAATTGTTTTGGAGATGTTATATCCAAATCCATTGATCCACTTTCCTACAATGAACAAAACAAAACAAACTATAAGGAGATGAAGTGCAATTTATCTCACATACAGTATAGAGAGAGAGCAAACAGATGAGCTGTTTAGTTTAGCTTTACCTTTAAGAATCGGCTGTACTTTGATATGCTTGTTTCACATGAGTCTAGTATGAACTGCAATGCTTCTTCCTCGATTTCAGGATACTTTAGATCCTTATTTGTTGATGACTTATTCGAAGCAGCTTTCGCCATCTGAAAAAGGATATATATATTCAGGAAGGAGATGGGAGTCTCTTCAAAAGGGTTATGATTATGAAGGAGTAGCCAAACCTCTTCAAAGCTGTTACTCATATCTGGAGGGCTCACTATTAGATACGCATATGCCATCAGCTCCAATGGCCAACCAGTGATTCTTACAGGGAAGCATTGAGGGCTGAACCAATGAACAATCTCATCAAGAGCAATCTATAAAAACTTGAAAGGGAAGAGATATGGAATGGTGGAAGAATTTTGATTACGTGGATAATCCATGTTTCTTTAAAGCATTCAGCTTTTCATTGTAACACTTATCATTTTTCCTGAGTGACAGTGCCAGTTCCACTGAATCACTAGGATTGGTTCCTTCTCTGGGAACAAACCCATAAGATAACAGTAGCTCTCCGTTTGATTTATTCCCATACGATATGAAAACCTGCACAAAATTCATGTATTGTAACATATTAGAGACTTCGAACAACTCTACTTAACTTCAATGCTCAGGTTTAGCTGAATATAGACCAAACAGAGCATTTACACTTAGTTCTTGGTGTTCACATTTTTTTGTGGGAATGAATCTATATAGGTCTTATTTACCTGCTCACCTGGTTGATATGGTCGATCTGCTGTAAAGACAACTCCTTTTGATGACTTATCATAATCCAGGTATGTCTCAACCTGTCCAAAGCATAATTTGGAATATTTACTACCGTAATGTTTTCTGATGAAGAGAATATAAGAGCTAATTTGGTTATAAAGATAAGAATAAGTACCTCACAGTTATGATTAAGCATATCTGCCCATGGAACTAAGGCAAATCTTCCATCCATAGATGGCAACCGTACCTGTGTTAGAGAAGCTTAAGTCTATTGACACTGACAAGCATGCAGGACATTATCTACCGGAAAGGAAAGAGAGATGAAATAGTTTTTGGGCTGCAAGTAGTTATTTTCTATACTAAATAGACTATATCGTGCAGCAATTCATGCAAGGATTAAAGAACAAGTCTTTCACTAGTTCAAGACATTTAAGTCCAGTGCATTAATTAACATGAACAGTAACTGGTTGCTTCTGATGAAGTAGGGCTTACCAACCGTGAGAACAGGATTCCGAAAGACCACTTGAATGTCTCATCATTGAAAACCTGCAAACCAATGAATAGAAAACTCATATACGTCTCCAACATAAATAGAATATAACCAATACCCTTGCAAATACAGAAGTTTATTACAGAATACTAAACCGACTAATCTATTTACATATTTTATTAGTTTACATTGCAAGATTCAAAATAATGTTGGAGTTAACTTGAACAAACCGTGAGAGACAAGTTTACTATTTCCTAGTTGAAATATGATTTGGTTTTAGATAATGATTGAGAATATTCTGTGTGTTTATCAACTAGGAATAGGATATTGTCTATGCAATATAAATAGACATATGGTGTGATGAGAAAAAGATAACGTGACTTTGTGATTGTGATCTTGTGTTTGAGCTTTGATATTGAATAAGAGAAGGACTTCTTATTAAAAGCTTGTGTTTCTATACGAGATCTTTGTGCTTCAATAAATAACACCTCTACAAAACAAACAAAAAAGTCTGACCAAGAAGATTTACTTAGATATTACAAATTATTCTTCTTTCAGCATATGATAAAACGCGTTTGAGTAGAAATAACAAGCTGTATATTTTTGTCTCCGAGCAACTGTCGCAAAAGAGGCATTAACAGTTTACCTCTTTAGGGAAAAGATTAGGGTGTTTGGAAAATATCCTGCTTCTTAAATCTTCATAACTGGAGAAATGAAAATGAAAAAGAAAAGACATGAGCATCAGTCTCCTAACCCCACCCACACACATAACAAGTTCCAGAGAGTGCATCAAGTAAAGCATAGAGACTGAAGCTAAACAACGATTCCAAAACTTAAGAAGGCAAAGTTCTACACATCACTAGCAATTGAGAGAGAGAACAAAATATCTCACGTTCCAACAACATTAGTGATCCTCTCAATTGCCCTTTCTCGTATCTGTGAAGCTTCCAAGTACATATCAAGCTCTGTCCGAGTCCTGAAAACAGTACAAAAAAGGCTGTGACTAATGCCATCAACTAGAAAACAATCACAATATTTTCAATTTCAAAACAAAGTTACCAGTATAAAAGCGAGTAAGGTTGTCTGGGAAGAGCAGAGATATAATTAAACCATCTCGAACCCTTCTGAAGACTCGCTTCACTTATAAGATAAGTAGCTAGCAAAGGCCAATCCGGAACATCATAACGTTTCATCACTTCCCCAGCCTCACCATTAGTCCACACCTAAACACACACAAAAAAACGAATCCAAAGCTCATAACTTTACTTCAAAAGTTAGATAATAAAGTTCAACACTTTCTTACGGAATCAGCACTGATAACAAGAGAAGGAGGAACAAAGAGAAGCTTCTCTCCTTTTCTTAGATTCTGAGAGGCAACGAGACCTCTCTCTCCGATGTCGACTTTATCAATAGCCATTTTCTGAGGCGGGAGGCCTGAGTCTGAGAGCCATTTTTGGAGAGAAGTGGCGTTCTCTACTGAGTCTATCTCGCAGCCCCATGATATGTTGTCAGGGGCTGCTTCCTCCACGGTTCGTTTTGTGGTCTCACCGGTTGAAACAGAGCAGTGGAAGTGGATTCTCGGTCGGGAGGAAGGGAGAGGAGGGAAAGAGAGGGTTAACGGATGGGTGTGGAGGTTGCGGAGAGGGGAGGAAGATGGGAGGAGAGTTGACTGCAGAAAGTTTGAAGCTTTCGCCATTGGAGAGGAGAAAGTGAGAACAGAGGAGACGAGTGGCTGTGGATGAGGCTAATGCACACAGTGCTTGGCGGTAAGATTGTGGAGTCCGGTTTGGTTTGGTTCGGTTTGTTTTGGTTTGGTTTGGGTTTGGATCTAAAGACTCTTAGGGGACAAGTAAACTGATGGTCGATGTATGCAACGTGCAGCGAAAGTTTATTTTTATCTTATATATTAAAACAGAAGTAATGACTTGATTTCATGTGTGATTTTTTTAAAAATAGACTATTACTAGAAAGTTATGTTACATTAACTCTCTAATAATCTTATCATTATTATAGCTTATAATATGCTTAACAATTTGGTTTTGGTAAATTACT